TATATATACACCAGTTTTGTTCTGAAGTAGATGTGGGTCTTGTGCATGTGAACGACAGAGGAAGAAACCAGTATTTTATGGATGTAGGCGTCGGGGTCCGTGCCCGGCTGGCGTGGGCCGAGGGCGGGACCTCAAGCTTGGACACAGGCTCGGCGCAGCCGGCCGCGGGACCCCGGGGAAGCTGGGGGCTCGCGCTGCGCCCTGGTTGCGCTTGTAAGACAGCGAACCCTCGCAGGACAGCACCACCACCGGCGCCCCCGAGCGCGGTCTGGGTACCCGGCCTGTGGCCGTGCTGCTCCAGAGAGGGCTGCTGTCAGCCCGGAGCTGAGAAAGATGCATGCGGCACCCCATCTTTCCACATGCTTGGGCCCCGCCCCTTTTACTCCACATCCAATCCACAGCAAATCCTGTAGGTTCCACCTTCAAAATATACCCAGACTGCAAACCGCTTTGAGCACTGCTCCGTTACCACGCTAATCCCAGCCAGCACCGTCTCGCTGAGGTCTCTGCATCTGCCGTGGCCGCTCAACACAGCAGGCGGGTGGCCTTGTGTGAGGACAGCTCCTGTCTCTCCTCCCCTCGGAATCCTCTGCTACCCTGCTGTCTCATTCAGAGTATAAGCCACAGCCCTTACGATGACCTCTAGGCCCCAGTGACCTTCCCTGCCCCACCTACCCCCCTCCTCACAGACCTTATGTCTAGCTCACCTCCTCTCTCCTGCTTCAGCTGCTCTGACCTCCTGCGGTCCATCAAGCTGACCTGGAGGGCTTCTGCCTCAGGGCCTTTGCATTCACTGCTCTCTGTGTGAACCCTTCTTCCTACAGATACGTGCATGTTCAACGCCTTACCTCCTAATGCTTACGAAAACTTTATCTTGAAGACATTCTGTTTAAAAAACGGGACCCCCTGCATCCACCCTCAGGCCTCATTCTCTGTATACCGTCCTGTCCTGTTTTTCTCCATCTGACATTTCATCACTGTCTAGGACACTATGTATTTTGCTTGTTTATTTTGTTGGCTGTCTTTCTCATCGCTCTATTCCTAGGTCAGGGCTTAGTGCTTAGTGCTTCACCTCCTACCCACTGAATGAATATATAATAGATAGGCAGTGTTTGGTTTTGTTGTTTTGTTTTCCTTTGCTTTTTATTAAAAAGGAGGAAAGTACTTTAAAGGTAAAATTGTTCTACAACCAGGTGATGTGGAAAACAAAGGCAGAAGGAAACGTAGATAAAATTAAATGTCCTTATAACCTGTAGCCCATTGACAAATACTTGAGGCAGGTAGAGTGTAAGATTCCTCCAGGAAGCTCCCAACTGTCCTAATGTTAATGCCTTGCTAGAGGGAAAAAACACCCTTGGTTTGACAATAGCCAGGCCTCCTATATCCTGTGAGTCTTCTTTAGCTGATGAAAGTTCTTCTGGAAACTTCCTTATCTTTACTTCCCCCAACCCCACAGTATATAATCAGTTGCTCCTCAGGGCGGCCGCTCTTTCTGCCCATGGGTTCTGTCCCGAGCTTTAGTAAAACCACCATTCTGCCCCCAAGACGTCTCAAGAATTTTTTTTGGCCGTGGGCTCTGAACCTCACCACCACCAACAGTACTCCAAAAACTACATCAAAGGCACCTAGAAACACTCCCAAGTTACTTTGCAAACCCCGACGAGAGCAACCACATTTTTTTTCCCTTATATTTTCATTGCAGAAAGTCCCAGAATTGCTCAGTTTCCATCTTTTTTAAAAGACTGTCAGGGTTCGAACGAACCTTTTTTAAAAGACTTCCTTTTTTAAAAGGAAGCTACATATTTTTCTTGGCCTTGGGAACGTTTCATCTAGCAACTGGAAAAAGGATTAGCCTGTTAGGCCAGTGATTTAAATCCAGGCAGAATAAACATCGTCCTTGGCAGGTAAGTAGCTCCTCAAACAGACTCATCCCAACATCTGCCTCCTTCCTCCATATGGCCTCCTGAACAGGAATAAGGCAATTGAGAGTCTTAAGGCATTTTTTAGGAGTGTTTGAAATTTGATACGGAGACTTTCTCCTGGTTGAATTTAGTTGTTCAAAGTGCTGGACAATTTAAATTTTTTTACAGACTCGCTGAGTGAATTGTATGCGCCAGGCACTGGGCTAGGTGCTGGGACCTAGTAAACCTGCAGGTACCTCCCCTGCAAACCTGCTCTGAGAGCAGCAGTTTTTCCAGGGGCGACAACATTAAGTTAATGAAATGTATTTAAATACACATGAACTGAGCACAGATCGTGGCCTAGTTCTAGGAACTTGGGAGACACCGGAGAACAAAACCCAAAGACCCTCATGGGCTCAAAACCCCAAGTTCAGTGAATGATGGGGGGAGCCAAGAAAGGCGTGTTGAGCTGGGTGGGATACAAACTTCGTTTAAAACATGCTCCCTGTCCCTAGGGAATTTTAAAATTACTTCAGGAGATAATGAAATAACAGTGAATATAATGAGCTGGTTAGCAGTGCCAGGGCCTTAACTGCATGGGAGGGCTGGGAGGGTGGGGGACATTCACCAGAGGGGGGCCTGGAGGAGGGGCCTGCCCACACAGCTGGGGGGCTAGGGGGCTGCCCGGGTGAGGCAAACCCAGAGGGTGTGGCATAGCTGGTCACCATGTGTTTGCAGGACACAGCTTCTGGTCTCACCAGGATGTTGAACTCATCGATTCTTTCCTAACTCAAAGCTTTCTTTCCTTTTATTTTAAAGAGAGAGAGCACAAGGGGAGGGGCAGAGTGAGAGGGAGAAACAGAATCTTAAGCAGACTCCATGTCCAGTGCAGAGCCCGACGCAGGGCTGGATCTCACGACCCTGAGATCATGACCTGAGCCAAAACCAAGAGTCAGACACCTAACCAACTGAGCCACCCAGGCACCCTTGACTCAAAGCTTTCTTGAGCAACTGTTGTGTGCAAGATAGGCTTCACCAGGGCTCACTGGGGAGCACCACACAAAAAGTCCCTTCCTGATGATGTGGAAATGTTGGGGTCTGGAGCTGAGGGTCAAGAAGGAATTCTTGAGATGTCTTGGGTGCAAAAAGCTGGTTTTATTATAGCACAGAGACAGGACCCATGGGCAGAAAAGAGCTGCACTGGGATCGTGAGGAGCGACTGACTATAGACTTTGGAACTGGGGGAGGTAAAGACAAAGGAGTTTCCAAAAGGATTTTCATATGCTAAAGAAGACCCAGAATCCTGGAGGCCTGGCTATTATCAGACCAAATTGTTTTTCCCTTTTTCCCTCTAGCAAGATATTAACATTAAGATTGGGAGCTTCCTGGAGGAATCTTATACTCTGCCTGCCTCAAGTATTTGTCACTGGGCTGCAGGTTATAAGGAAGTTTAATTTTATCTACATTTCCTTTGTGCCTTTGTTCTCCACTTAGGGAGCTTGCATTCTGGAGAGGGAGGCTGCAGGGTTGGACGTGTGAATAAGCAATACAATATGAGACGCCAGCAAGAAAACAAAGCAGGATAGGGGCACCTGGGTGGCTCAGTCGTTAAGCGTTGGCCTTTGGCTCAGATCATGATCCCGGGGTCCTGGGGTCGAGCCCCACATCGGGCTCCCTGCTCATCGGGAAGCCTGCTTCTCCCTCTCACTCCCCCTGCTTGTGTTCCCTCTCTCGCTGTGTCTCTCTCTGTCAAATAAAAACTTAAAAAAGAAAAAAAAAAAAAGAAAAGAAAACAAAGCAGGATAGGGCCCTAGAGGGGAGGGGGCGGGAGAACTCTGGAAAAACCGTGGGCAGGGTGTGGGGGCAGATAACGCACGGAGTGTGGACTGGCCAAGTGGGAAGACGGCAGGTGTCTGGACAGAGAAAGCAGGAGTTAGGAAAGGTCGGTGTGGCCGTGAGCTCCCACTCCTGGGCCTCACAGTGCGGGAGATGCTCCCACACCTCTGCCCCCCCCCCCCGTCTCTCTGCACCTGAGTGGGCCATGACCCACTCCCCTCCGACAGGGACCCCCCAGCACACACAGCGATCTCAGCAAACCACCTACCGGGATTCAAACTAGAGCACCGAGGTCTGCCTCAGCAGTTTCTCTAAAATAAATACTAAAGCCCACACGCTGCACATTTTAGAAGCATTTCAAGGTTCACTCGAACAGGAAGGAGGAAAGATTTTGCTAGTAGGCATTGCTACTGACAAAGACAAATTTTCACTCCAAAGTTTTGACCGGTCACAGCCGTCCACCTTTCAGATATAAAACAGCATAAACGATTTCTTGCAGAAGTGAAGAACACAAAACAAAAGCGACACTGTGAGGCACCTCCCCAGCTTTCTAATCATTAACGTGCCGAAAGGTTTGCACAGATGCCCCTTGAAGGTGAACTTCTTACAACGGCCTTGACCAGTGGCTACATTTGCGCACCCGCAGATAAGGGGATCCGCACGGCTGGGGTAGCGGCCGTGGGCTGGACGGGTGCGGGCCCGCACCTCCTCCGGCGGTGCCGCGGGGCATGTGCGCGAGCTGCCCGAGCGAGCCTCCTGGCCGCGCACCGCCCACGCCGCCCGCAGGACCGAGTCCGCGGTCCCGCGCGGGAGCCAAGTGCAGCGGGGGCGCGGTCAAGGTGGGGGCGGGGCGGGGCCCCGGCGAGGCCGGGGGCGTCGGAAAGGGCGTGGGGCGGGGCCACGGGGCGTGGCCTGGGGGACGTGACCGGGGCGGGGCCCGGGGCGGCCCCGACGGGAGCCGACTGCCGCGGTCTGGATATCCCAGGTGGGCGCGGGGCTGGGTTTCCAGCTCCTGCACGGGCTCCGAGACTCACTTCCTCTTCCGAGCTCCCTGGCGTCGGAGCCGGAGGGTCCCGGCGAGTCCCCACAAGTTCGGGGTCCCCGCGAGCCCGGGTCTCCGCGAATCCGGGTTCCCGCGAGTCTGGGTCCTCGCGAGTCCCGGGGTCCGAGCGTTCGGGGGGCGGCGACCGGCTGCTCCAGCGGCGCCTGGGGCGCACGGGCGGGACCGGCGCGGAGAGCAGGAGGGGGCCTTCCTGCAGGAAGATGAGGAAGCCCGATGGGAAGATCGTGCTTCTGGGGGACATGAACGTGGGCAAGACGTCGCTGCTGCAGAGGTACATGGAGCGGCGCTTCCCGGACACTGTCAGCACGGTGGGCGGCGCTTTCTACCTAAAGCAGTGGCGCTCCTACAACATCTCCATCTGGGACACCGCAGGTGAGGGCGGGCACCGCTCAGGCCCCACTCGGGCCCACTGTCCTGGGGCTCCGCAGACCAGGTGCTTCCAGCCGGAGAGAAGTATCCCCCAGGGCCGGGGTGTCCCAGGGCAAGACTTCCCCCAGGACAGGGTCCCCGTGCGCAGGGTCCCGCCTACGCACTGCGTGTGACCCCATCTCGGGATCAGGCCCCTAGTCACGGTCGAGGCCGCACTTGGCCCCTCTCTGCCTCTGCTTGTTCTCCTTTGCTGGTTGGGAAACTTCAGCCACTCGGTGGGTCTTAGGGACAGTACAGGTGACACTTGAAAAGCGCCCCTGGATCCAAAGAGAGAGGCTCCGGGTGTCTCGTGCTTGGCTCCAGAGCCCCACCATCCTGCTAATGGGAACGCCGCGCTCGGGAACGTGCTCATTTGATATCCCCAACCCCCTGGAGGGGTGAGCAAAGCTACCGTAATTACCCCTTCTTTACAAAGGAGGAAGTTGAGCGCAGAGCCTTCCCTGAGGGGTTTCGTCAGGAGACCAGGAAACTCAGGCTTCTGCTCTCAGTGCTGAGCACATCTGCCTTTCCCCCTTCACTTACCACTTGCCCGATCTCCGCTCCTATCTGTCATGGGGCTTTGAAGTGGTTTTCTGCAGAAGCATTTTTAAGATAGTAATGAACTATTTTTAGTACATGTAGTATTTGTGATTTTTCCAAAGTGGAAATCACAGGGTCTTGATTCAGGCTTTCGGTGAGTTAACTCCGCAAAAGTCCGCCGGCAACAACAGTCCTACCATGGAGCTTACCTCCTTCCCCAGGAAAAGGAAGAAGATGCCTCAAGTAAAGACACTGTGCATCCTTGGGCACATTTTCAATGAGTATGACTTTCAGAAGCCCAGCACTTTCAGAAGTGACCTATATACCCGAAGGTCCTGTCTAGAAATTTGATTGCCAACTTGGGCACACCGGTCTGCTAAGTAAACAAAATTAGAACTAGTTCTCTGTTTACAGTGGAGTTAATGGAGTTCTCTGATGTCCCCTACCCTTCTCCATCCTGCTTTCTTTGTTGCTGTCTTTTTTAGTACGGTGGTTAATGTCCGACTAAATGATTTGCAGTCATGCTATGAAAACAGTGTCTCCCAGGTACAGATGTAGCCATCCCTGCTCCAGGCTGCGCAGTGACGTTCCCAGATGCTTTCCTTAAGCTGACTTTCTAGCACTAAGCATTTGGTAGGGATGGAACTCAAGCTCTAGAAGTCACATCACGTTGAAATGATTCGGCTGCCTGTTTTGTACAAGGCTGGCCCTATTGATACTTTAGTTGGCCGGCTGGCCTTCATTGCTATCCTCGGTTTACAAGGAGATGATGCAGGATTGGTGTTGGGCTCCCAAACTGAGCGGCTCTGTAACGGCTGCCGTCAGAAGCTGCCCTTTACCGTGGGAGCTGGTGTTTCTGGAAGAGGAGCTGACCTTTGGTGTCAGAGCAGGTGTCTCTGGCGTCAAGAGTATGAAATAATTTTGACTGGCCACTTTCTTCAGTGACCGGGGCATGATCAGCCGGAATCTTGATCACCGGAAGATTTTGTAATACAGACGATGACAGGCCCCAGCCATCTCGCCCGGCTGCCGCCGGGGGCGGCAACTCATTTCCTGGCATTGCCTTCTTGTTCCTGGAACCCTTAGTGTGAGTTGGGTCAGGCTCCCAGGGCCGCGGGGGCGGCCAGGCCCTGTGTCCACATGGCTGACCTGTGTCCACACGCACAGGGTGACCGAGGCTTGGCCTCAGCGTTGACACAGGCCATCTCTGTGCCTGGCACCCCAGCCACTGTGGGGTTATGGGCCACCTGGACGTATGAGTAGATACCTAGACAGGTATGAATAGATACCTTTCCTTAATCTTTGTTGGAAATTCAAAAGTTTAACTCTGAAGGGGATTCTGCTTTTTCCTTGTCTTGCTCTTGAACGTCCTTCCCATTCCACAGACACTGGGTTTTAAGCTGTGTGCATTTTACTTTTCATAACCAAGGCAGAGTTTACGGACCCGCGAGAGGATCGTTTTTAGTGCTGGCCCTGGTCACAGGGGGTGGGTGGGGTGGGGATGTGGGGCTGTGCGGGGTGTCAGGCTGTTCAGTCGTAGAGGAGAGACGGGGGGTCAGAGAGTCTTACTCTTCTTTCCAGCAGCAGAGTGGCTGGCTGCCTGAAGCTGGAGGGGGAGGAGAGGTTTGCCGGGCTGGTTTATAGGTATCTTATTCAGTGACGCTACAGGCCTCCCGAGGGGGGTAAGATCATGTCCACGTCCAGGATGGGGCCATAGAGGCTGGCCGAAGCTAAGGGATTCAGACTTTGGTCTGTCCAGGTGCCGTGCATTCTGTTCATCGTGTCTTGCTCACCCTGACCCCTGCCTAGTTGGGCGGACAGATGTGGGGCATTCACTGTGAAGGTTTGATAAGTTCTGGAAGCAAAAGGCGGTTGCCCAGAGACGAGATGGGGCCCCAGCAGAATCCGCCACCACTCTCTTCTCTGTCATGCCTTTGGTTGGTCTGAACAGTCTGAAAAGATGTTGCCCATCATTCAGCAAAGTAAACCCAGCCCCTCCTACACGCCTGGGGCCGCTGCTCCATGGGCTTTCAACTCCAGGGGAGGGGGAGAGGCAACAAGGAAAGAAGTAGTATCATTTCACATGGGATCATCCAAAGAAACTCCATCCCTAGAGCCCTGGAAGGCTAGCCCCCTCCTTTATTGCTCCTACCTCGAGGCGGCAGCCCCTGGAGATGGGGCGGGGGGGTACGGCTCACTTTTGCATCCCCAGTATCTGTCCCATGGAGACCACTTTGGAACCCTTGATCCCCTTTCCTCCAGCCTCCAGGAACACGTTCCCTGTTTCCATCTGAGCTCACACTGGCAACACCCTAACGTCTGTATTTCTGCCTGAAGTCTTCATGCCGGCTTGGGTATCCTCGGAAGACGAGACAGGTTTTCTCTACAGTGCTCCCTCCTTCCTCCCGAGCCCTCGCCAGCAGGGCTGCTAGAATCCGTATTTCTAACAGCCTGTGCAAGACAGGGCAGGCTCTTTCCGTCCTGTGTCTCAGATTCTTCCCGTCTCTGCCCGTTGCCCAGTTCCAAAGCCACGTCCAGCTTTGTCACAGTCGTCCCTGCTCTGAGGACGAACATCTGTTTCAGTACCCTGCTCCCGCTCTAACAAAGCACCACAAACTCAGTGGCTTAAAAACAATGCAGGTCAGAAGTCCTAACTGGGGTAAAACCGAGGCGCTGGCCACCTGTGCTCCTTTCTGGAGGCTCCAGGGAGGGATCTGTTTCAGTGCCTTTTCTAGCTTCTGGAGCCTGCCCGCATCCCGTGGCTTCTTCTTCCTCCTCAAGGCCCTGGTGTCTCTCATCGTGTCTCTCGGACCCTGACTGGTCAAGCCCCCTCCCCCACATTTAAAGGACCCCTGTGATTCCACTGGGTTCATCTTGTTAAGTAAGCTTTAAGGTCAGCTGGTTAGTAACTTGAATTTGTCTGCGACGTTAGTCCCCTTGCCACGTAACATAACATCTTCACGGGCTCCAGGGTTTAGGACCTCTCTGCGGGGTGGGGGTGGGGGTGTGCCATTCTGCCCGCCACAGCCACTGACCACATGTGTGATTTTGTGGCTGTTATGTGTCTCCACTGCATTTTCCTCCTCTACAAAATGGGGACGGTTGTAGCACCCACCCGAAGCGTTGATAGGAATCAGTAGGTTAATCTTGACAAAGTGCTTGGACAGTAGTACCTGGAACGAGGAAGTGCTGTGTTAGTGTTTGATGAAGAAACAATCATCTAGTCCTGGGGGCTTATGACCACGATTCCCACCAGCAAGCATGTCACAGAAGGACAAGAGAGGCTTGTCCCCCAGTAATTCTGCAATAAATGGAGAGATCAAAGAGGGGAGATTCAGAGCACTTGGTGTAATGGCTAGATGTTGAGATGTGTTCTTTCCATGCCTAATTTGTTAACGATTTTTATCATGAATGGGTGTTGAGTTTTGTCACATGCTTCTGCTACATCTACGGAGATGATCATATGATTCTTTTCTTTCATTCTATGAATGGGACGTGTCACATTGATTTGTGGACGTCAAACCATCCTTGCATCCCAGAGGTGACAGTTGGTTTAAGATCTTTCTCTCGAGTAACTTTGGTGCAACCCAGGAGAAGATGCTGCATGTCTGGGTATGAAATCATTGTGCCCGTGAAGTTAGCTGAGAGGTCTTGGCCCCCGTGGCAGAGCCGAGGGCCTCAGCCCCCAGCCCCGTGAGCATCTGAAGAATGGGGAGGCACACACAGTTGAAGATGTTCAGAGGCGACGGACCATCCTTGAGGACTGGGAGCCCCCATCATCCCCCTTCCGCTCTTCGCAGAAGCCTCAGCCCCCAGCTCTACCTGGAGGCAGCTGCCGCTGGATCCAGGGAATGATAGGGCAAAGATGGTGGTGTTGCGGATGAGCTGGTGAGTAGCTGTCTTTGGCAGGGACCACACAGTTGCTGATCGCTGATCCTTTCGACTGGCCTGTGAGGACTGTGTAGTTGAAAAGCCCCGAGAGCTTGGTGCCGAAGTGGGTGGACAGCCCGTGCAAACTGCGGAGCTGAGGGTGGAGCACTCAGGTCTTTGTTGGCTCTCTGATTATGTTTGCGCAGCTGCTGAGTGGTTCTGGAGGTCCGAATATGGTGGCCCTGAGCCCAGCAGTTGGTGTTCGTGCAACGGGAAAGCATCTCGTGGATGACATCCCCTTCTTGTAGATCAGCAGACTGAGCCGGGCCCTCCCTAGTCGTCATAAATAAGGTTTTATTGGTACACAGCCATGCCGATGCATTTATAGGCTGTGGCGCCTTTTTTGCTTTCTTTCTTTCTTTCTTTCTCTTTCTTTCTTTCTTTCTTTTAAAGATTTTATTTTATTTTATTTTTATTTGTTTGACAGAGATAGACATGGCGAGAGAGGGAACACAAGCAGGGGGAGTGGGAGAGGGAGAAGCAGGCTTCCCGCT